GGGGAGTGAAAGTAACACTACCACATTCATAGGACTACTCTGGCAGCTCAGAGTAATGCATGAATGGGAGATTATGCTGCCAAAAGAGGGTAGCAGGGGGGCGATCTTTTCTCAGAAAGATCTAAGCCCAGTGAAGATGTGACGTTATCATCTGAGGCTAGATGTACGACATCACAACAAAAAAAAATTATAAAGGGTAATAACCAAATGAGTGTAGAATCGTCCTTGAAGCAACCATCAAAGTGCTTCAAAGGAGAAGAAAGAAAAAAAACTTTGGGGCATTTATGCTCTTAGAGAGTTTTATCGGGTTCCTCCTGTAACAAGGGGGACCAGTTTCGCTCTACTAAGAGCTTCCCTCTTTTATCACATGTATATTTTTTAAATGGGGATTGTGAATGGTTTTGATAACCCAGACCATGTTCGCCACATGAACAAAACTGGGGAAAGAGATCTAATAGGATCTTGTATAGAATTTAATCATTAGTTTTGATAACCCAGACCATATTCAACTCATGTGAATGAACTGGAGAGCACAATCATATTGAAATTGATATAGAAATACAATCAATTTAGGGTAGGGGATCAGCATTACCACTCATGACTGACATGAGATGGTATAGACCCAGTATCCTATCTCCAAGAGAGTCTAAACTGGTGACTCTAACATCCCTAATCACATTCAACTCATATGAATGGACTGGGGGCTATATCTATCAAATCAGGACTGATAGGAAAAGAAACTAAAGTAGAGATAGTGGATCCCCATTACCACTCCTAGCTATCATAGGAGGGGGTGGACCTAGTGTCACCTCTCAAAAAGGTCTAAGCTAAAGACTACAGCCTCCCCAATCACATTCAACTCACATGAATGGACTGGAAGCTACACCTATCAAAGCAGGACTGATAGGGAGAAGAAACACAAATAGAGATAGTGGGTCTCTGTCATCACACCTTACCAACGTAGGTGGGTTTGAACCCAGTATCACATCTCAAAAGTAGACTTTAATCGTTGGTTTTGATATCCCAGACCACACTTGGGTGGCAAGTGAAACTGGGGGCACTAAAACTCACGATGTATATTTTAATTTTATGGACCAGTCAAAAGTTACAAATGGGCACATATCCTAGAGGGGTTTTAGTACCTGAATCTATGTAATCTTAAAGAGAACCTCAATATGATTTTACTGACTCGGCTCAAGCTTCATACTAGCAAAATCATGATATCTCACTTATATGAGTATTTTTTTTCTTGAATTGAAATCTAATCCAAAAAATTATTTAAATTGGAAGAAGAAATTAGATTTTCTCAATTTTCTTATATAAAAGTATACTTCCATATCCTATAGGATATCAATGCATAATGATGATTGCAAAATCATAATTTTCAGTCTCAAGTATCAAAAATATCAAAAGAATATAGATTTTCTGAGATTTAGAGATTTACTAGAAAGGGAAGCCATTTACTTATCACTTTTGAGCTCTTTGAGCCACTATCTCAATTTTAGTGCACTTTGCACAATTTTCATTTATTTGATACACTTTGTGTATCTTTCACTTTTGGTGTACTTTGTGCATCTTTTCACTTTTTGTAACTGGCTTCCTTTTCCAAATCTCTAAAAGAAAACTTTTTTTTTCTCAGTTGTAAGATCATCTTCCAAACACAAGAGAAGAAGACTCACTTCTCTTGGGCAAGGAAGAAGGATCTACAAAATAAATCATATCCTCTGATAAAGATGAATAACTTGATTAAGAAAATTCTGAAGTTTTATTCATCTGTATACTATAGTTATCTATGAGATAGAGAATTACAAGATAATGAAGAAAATCTTCACTTCTAAATCTAATTTCAATTTAGAATAGATTTTAGTTCAAAAGAAGAAATCTCTCAACTCATGGTACGAGATAGAGAGATCATACTCTTTCATGAGTCACCACTACAAAGCTAGTAGAGCTAGAAGAAGTAAGAGTGTCAACATAACTGAAAATCATCATCTTTTTCTTTTATTGATTAATCATCAATAGAAGGGAGAATAAGGTCCCTCAGTATAAGTACTAAAAGGGGGCCTGTCTTCCCTTATGAGATTACAACCATTTTTTTTCTTTTATATATTTCTTTAGTACAAGTAAAAAAGAGAGAAGGAAATGTGCTTATCTGGTAGACTGGCACTATAATATAAGAAAGAAAGAAAAAAAAAGTGTGCTAGTAAAGGAGCTAAAGCAGCATCTGTCAACTTGGCCTAGGGAGGCCTCCTCTTAACTACCTTTGAATTTGTATATCTTGCTCAATCATCTGCTAGGTCTTCTTGGAGAGTGCTAGCTACCACTCTCCCTTCTCCCTTAGAACTATGGAGTGATCTGCCACTACTGCCCTGACTGTAAGTCTGACTGTCACTGTGGCTGGAGTCTGAAATCCTTTGCACTATGTGAGTAGCCTTGCCCTAGGGCTGCACTAAGTCACTATCATGCAGATGGATCTTCCCATTGGACATAAGGCTCTCCATCATATCCTTGAATACAAAACAATCTTCAAGTGTATGGCTAGTATGTCGGTGAAAGGGGAAATATAGTGGGTGTTCCGTTTGCCCTTATTCATTTGCCTTTTTATTGAATGGGAATGTCAAAATATCTTTCTTAACAAGAAATTTAAATATATTTCTTATACTTTCTCTTTTAAAGGGATATTCCTTGTTAAGTCTCTCCTGTAAGGATGGTTGACTCTCTGAGTCCTTATAAGGAGGTCTGGACTGCTGAGTCTGTGGTCGTGGTGGAGGTGCACTGCTCACGGGCTTCTTTCCCTTATCTGGTGGCTCATAGGTATTGTGTACCTCCCCCTTCCTATAAGGAGTTGCTCTCAAAGACTCCTGATGCTGAGGTATACGCTGAGGTTGACTCTCAATCTTAGGAGGGACTGCATCAGGTATGCTGTCCTGTAAACCGATCACCTTAGTTAACAATTTTTGGAAGGTTATTATAGTGAAACCTTTCAAGTAAGGTGCTATAGGGCCATCTATATTCTTTAACAAAATCTCTACTGTATGTTGCTCCTGTAATTGGGGCTCACACTGCAGGCTGAGGTTCCTCCATCTAACTATATAATTTGAAAGACTCTCTCTAGGGTGCTGTCTAGCCACAACCAACTCTCCAATTATGACCCAGTGCTCTGCACTGGCAAACCTCTGTATAAATAGCTTCTCTAATTCTGTAAAGATCTAGACTGAGTCGTTGGGGAGATCGACGTACCAAGCAAACACCACCCCAACCAGACTACTGAGAAAAAGTCTTAACATCAATGCATCGTTCCCCCCTATATTGTAACATATGGCTCGATATTGAGCTACATGCTGCCTTGGGTTCCCAAACCCATCAAAGAATCTGAATCATGGGGGAATAAAACCAAGAGGGTAAGGCTCACTCTCGTACTCCACTGGGTAAGGCTTACCTCTACTGACCACCTCTCCAATTTTTCTGGAGGAAATTGTCTGCTCAACCTTCTAAGCTATCAAATCTTGAATCTGGCCAGCTGACAACTATGCTGGCTGACTCTAGCTAACTATAGGTGTTGTATGGACTGTAAGAACTTCCGTCTGAACCCTATCCACCCTCACAGGGTCTAGTGCCACTTGTGGCACTATTGGCTCATCTCTAGACGTGGTAGGAGTACCCACGCCCATCATTTGGGGTGTAGCCCCCAAAGAAGTCAATTGGGCAATCATCGCTGCCATGGCCGTGGCCATCTTGGTCATCAGAGCCTGTAAGTGTAGTACTGTGGTATATGTAGCAACTGATCTGGGAGATCTCCCTACCTATAGGTCTCCCTGCTCATCATCATCCTCGTAGTCTCTCTGCTTATCTGAGTGACCTCGCCGGGTAATCACACAGATCCAGTGCACTGGTATATCCTCATCTGACTCACTTTCTAGTGTATCATCATCCTCTAAAAAAGATCGTCGAAGTGCCTCTATGTAGGGACTCATAGGAGAGGTGATCCTATGAGGGCTGGGAGCTGGCTCTATCTCATCCCGCTCTGGTGATCCATCAATAGCAGGCACTAAATCAATATCACGGATCTTCGAGACTAACTCGAACCGAGAAAGAACTACTACATCTAGTGGGTCTACTGTATCTATTGGCTGAACTGTCTAACCTGAATGTACTGTCTCAACTGGCTGTGTGGCCTCAACTAATTGTACTGCCTCAACTGACTGTACTACCTCTACTAACAGTACTATCTAGTATGGCTGCACTATCTCTGCTAAATGTACTAGCTCGACAGGGGTGCTCGTCTATCGATGTCTCCAAACCCATCTACTGCGATGGGGCTCCATACTGATAACCGGCTACTGAGGGGCTACCACTGTTGATCTAATTTGGGGCCGAACAGGCTCCCACTGCTGTCTCTATCCTAGACAATGTGGGCATTGTCCAATAGCAGGAGTAACTACCAGCAGTCTAATAATTTGAGCTGCACCGACTAACTACTGAGGTGGCTGTCCTCTCTGCCACCTATACCTTGGTCTCATGGTCTGTCTCTGCAACTGAAAGGTAGCCTGATAGATCTATCAGAGTAACCTCTCCCGACTGACAGGCCCTCTACCATGCGCTAGGCGAAAGATATTTTGAATCATCTGAGAGAGGGCTCGAACACCAGCATCCTTGGGGACCCTAGCTCGGGGTAAGGTAATGGTAATAGGAGGAGCTGCCGCAATGTGGGCAACGTCCTCCACATCCCCACTGTGTGTCAGTGGAGAGAAGCATCCTCCCTGGATTGCCTCTATCTAAGGAGCTACTATCACTTCTGGGGTGAGTACTGCTGCAACTGGTCGTGGTCTCTGCTGCCTGGGAGCCACTGTCCTCTGAACTAGCTCCTGGTGAGCTATCGCATCTGCCATCTGCTGCCTCTATGCCTCAGATGCAGCTAAGTAAAGTCTCCTATTCTTATTCCTCCTGGCCCTTCTCCCAAGACTAGAGGTGGAGGTAGACGGAACATCTGAACCCACTTCCTAGGTGGCAGGGGGAACAGGGACAACTAGAAGTGTCGGGGTCTGCCCGGCGGTCTCAGGGTGAGAGAGCCGAACAAAAACAAAAATCCGACCAGAAGAGGGCGAAGGCACCTCAGTCTGGGAACCCCTCTTCCTAGTGGAAGTGGGAGGGGGAACATGAACTCGAGGTACTTCCACCGGAACAACGGGAGTAACAACAATGATAGGCTGCCGACATTGGGGAGCTAGAGCAACCTGTGCAACACAAGCGGCAGGTACGGGTTGCCTAACCGCTGGACAGATGGGGGGAAAAACTGCAGCTGGTTGCCAGCACTGAGGGGCTAGAGTAACCTGTGTAGCAGAAGTAACAACATCCACAAGCTGCCGGCGTTAAGGGGCCAGAGCAACCTGTACAATAGGAGCGACAGGCACGGGTCGCCTAACCACTGGACGAACGGGTGGAACAACTGCAGCAGGCTGCCGGCGCTGAGGGGCCAGAGAAACCTGCGCAATAAGAGTAGTAGGCACTGGACGCCTGACCGCAGGATGAACTGGTGGAATGGTGAGTGGCCTAGGCACTGGTTGCTTAGCCACAGGGCGCACAGGCTGCGCAAATATAAGAACGGGACGAGCAGGTGCCTTGGCTATCCGTCGAGCAGCTGGTCATCTGAAAGGGCGCATGGCTGCACGCCCTCTCATCTAGGGAGAAGAGAATGCAGCAGCCTCTGCCGGGGTCGGCCCGCCAACAGTGACGAAGGCCGAGTCCGTGAAGGAATCAAAAGTGATCCCTCCAGCTGGCGGACTGGCAAGCAGGGACTCAGGGAGAGTCACCCGCGCATCCGAACCAAAACTGAAAGTGACGGAAGAAACAAAGGAGGCCATGACACTGCTGCCAAGAAAAGAAAGTGAAAAGGTCAGTCAAAACTGAAATCAAGAAAGAAGAAAAAAAGGAATGAGTATGGATTTGATAAAGAAAGATAGGAATGGATAAAGGACAGAATAGCCTACAAGGCTGGAATTAAATAGAGTTGAGGGAAACCCTAGCTAAGGGGAAAGGAACCCTAACTAAGAAAGGCCCTAACTAAGAGTGGGACGGACCTAATCAAAGGAGTACCAATCCCAGAGTACACACAAGAAAGGATAATATATAATCCAAGATGGAGAGAGAAACTGGTTCCACCATGGTCATCAAAAATCTATGGACCTCCGAAAGAGCACCGCATGAATGGGTCAATTCTAAGGGACATATTGGATCGTGCATACAACTAACCATTGAGGATAGTGGCTGTCGCCAACACACCTTGATGGGTAGTAATATACACGATCTAATCACAGGTTTCCCCCATCTGATACAATAATTTGAATGGAGTTTAGTAGATGTGGGGCCAAGTTTCCCATGGGCGCAAGCCCCCGTGGTTAATTACATCTCAGGCCGAAACCCAAGAAAACTCTCAATTAAGGATCATACATTACCCATTTCTAAAATGGGATTGGCATAGGGGTATAGACTAAGAAGTCCTACTCAAAGGGAAGAAAAGGTCCTTAAAGGCTCAGTCAACATGCATGGCTCATACCAGCATTTGGAGGCTCTAGGGTACTAAAGAGAAACTGGATGAAAGAAAGTCAGGAAATCAATCATATGCGTGAGAGAAGGATAGAGGTGGCGTCATCCTGTGACACGGATACGTAGGATTTATAGTCTCTAAAAGGAAGGGACCAACCTACTAAGGCATACTATGAGACCGGGTGTAGTAGCCTCTACTCACACTAAGACCCGTGTCCTAATTAATACAATATAAAGATCTGAACTTATCCCGGCCTAGATTGGGGAGCCAACTAACCACCTAATCGATTCAAAATCATGCTATCAAGTCAATTATGAAAGATGGGTGGGAGGTACAGTTATTGGAAATATGACCGACATCTAGAGAGTTTTCTAAATGGTCATGAACTTATGTGGGTCAGATGCTCCTAGCTAATGCAATTAAATTTTATTTAGTTGGTTACTAATGTAATACATGCTAGTTGAAAAGTTAACTCATGAATGCTATAGAGTTTTAAAAATAGACTTATAGAAAATATATATTTTTTTAAAAAAAACTGGGTCTCCCTAGGTCCGGCACTTCATCCTCATAGGCCAGATTATTCAGACTCTACCCGCAGACAGGGAGATGTCTTATAACAAGGAAAAGAATAATGTAATAATATGTATGCGATCCCTGTCAATTCCGGCAGTTCCCTAGGTTCATTAAGTTTCTATGCTATTTAGACTTAAATTTTTAGAAATTAGTTATGAGTAAAAAAATGTTTTATTGTTCTTAAAGTGCCTAACAAAATCTAGGCAAAAACAAAAGCGGCATGCAAGAAAGAAACCTAAGAAAAACATGCAATTTCTACTGCGTAATCAGGTAAACACATTAATATAAATCCAAAATAATCAATTAAATGTCCATAGGCAAACTGCCCTTATTACAACCCAGATATGCAGAAAGTAAAATGGCCGGGCACCACTGCCAACAACTCAGTTTTCTAAGCCTATGACATACGCAAATGACTTTGAGTGGGATATTGGTCTTCGGGTCTTCAGTCTTCTTTAGATCACTTCTCCTTGGACTCCTTGGATCTCCCTCATTGAACTCCTTGGGTTTCTCTTCCTTGGACTTCTTAGAAATCTCCTCCTTGGACTCCTTGGATCTGTCGTGGCTTGAATATCCAAATGAAGAGACAATTCCCCCTTTGTAGGGGGAATTGCCTTTTTTCTTTAGATATCTAAAGCCATCCAACTCGATCTTCCAAATGGAAGAAGACTCTCCTCTATGAGGATGCTTCTTCTTTTGGAATTCGAGTTGGATAAGGATATCCCAACTCAAAGTTGCATTTTCATAACTTTTAACAAATGTTACAAATATTACATCTATTTAAAAATATAAAATTCTAGACTCCCTGCAAGGTCATCCTAATAATCATCCCAAATAGTTGCAGTATCTCAAACAGTTAAGAATAAAAAGAAACAATTCTTTGAAGCTGTGCCAAGCCATGCATAAGACAATATTAGAAATCATAACAGTGCCCCCCTTTTATTAGCTTGAGTATGGCCACCTGCATGGAAGAGTAGTAGTAGTAGTATATATATATATATATATATAGCGCTCCTAACCTAGGGGTAGATCTAGCGCTCATCACATTATCCACAGTGCAGCAAAAATAAGCAAACACAGCAATTCAATTTCATACAACATGCAATGAAAACCATAGAAAGCTCCGGCACACAACAGAAAAGGAAATAAACACCGGTCTAGCCTAAGTCTAGAAGTGGTGCTCTAGTAAACAATTCTATGTGTGTGTATGGCTAGTGTGGCTTGGATAGATCCAAATTTGGGTAGTTAGTTAAAATTACCTACAATTCAGGTTTGTTAAAGGCCAAAAAAGAAAATTTTTGTTAAAGTCAAAGTTTTAATGGATTAGGGTACATTTTAAGTAATTTAGTCTGTTGGTCAGTTTTAAAAGCTTAATGTGATGATATTTGAAGTTAAAATTGCATTAGCCAATTTTGAAAAGTCCTAGGTCCTCCTAGGTACTAGGCTAAGGGGATCAAAAAAGTTACTATGGGAAATATGCTAGATTTGGGCCTCTTAATATTTTAGGTAAATACTAGACCTTAGGATGAGTAGTTATCCAGGTAGTACACTTAAATTGGAGTTTTCTAGGAAAAGTTATAAATTTTCTAAGTTTCGGGTCTTAGACTATAGGTTGGGATTGACCAAAAAGTTGACTTTCTAATTTAGGTTAGTTTCTGGAATCTTGATATTTTTAATAAATACTAGATCTTAATAGGAGTCTACTGCAAGTGAGTTTGCCTAATTTGGAATTTTCTACAGTTAGTTATGAATTTCTAAAGATTGGACAATTAAGGGAATTATCTAAATTTCCTAATAAAAGGGCTGATTTTAAGGTTTTGACCCAAGTTAGCTCTAAACTGATTGGAATCACTCCCAAAGGTCAGGGATGACATGATAAAGTGATCCCATAGTGTTTGGAGAAAATTTGGGATTTTTAATAATTTTAATGAATTATTAGTGGCAAAAAGGTAATCTTCACCTAGGGTCAAATTGAGGGTCAACCTAGAGTTAAAATAAGGAGCCCTATTTATCTAAAGTCAAGGATCAGATTTTGAACAAAATAAGGTATTATGGGTATTTTTTTGACCTAAAATGTATTTATTGTAATTTTCAGAAGGTCTTGGGGCCCTATTTAGTAGGTTAATTAGGGTTAGTTAATTAAGGGGTCTAACAAGCCCTAAAAATTCCTAGAAAATTATGGGAGGTTTATGATGTCTCTAAGTTTAAATGTTGAGGTTTTCATGTCAATCAGTGATCTAACCTAGCCCTTAGAAAATTTCTTTGTTTGCTAGACGGGTCCTTAATTTTTGTCCTTAGGGTGTCACTACGTTATATGGGTTTAAATGGAAGTTCACACTAACCCTCATGGTAATAATGCATGGAACACATGAAAAATAGTAAACAAACCATGTCCTTAAATCTAGGAGAGCCTAAACTAAGTGCTCGTGGTGCAACCTACACATGCAATCTACGACAAACAAAAAGTAAGTACAAATAATGAAGGAATTAGTGAATGATTGGAACTCAACCATCCACTAATCCACTCCCCGGTGATTGATCTTCACATATGGAATATATGTTTAAAATTTCATGCGTAGTAGATTTCCTAAAATTATGATTTAATTATAAGTAATATTAAAATAATTTAAAATACTTATATATATATGTTTGAAAGATAGATCGATTCATAATTTATATATTTTAAGAATTAAATTTTAATATACATATATAAAATTTAAATATTAAATATTTATATACTAATTCTTATAATATACATTATATAAATTATAAATACACTTAAGCCCTATGTAAACCCAACTAAGCCTAATATTGAAGTCCAACTAATCAATAAGACCTAAAAATCATATTCATAACTCATTCATACAACTTTTTTGATCCACATCATAGGAATTGTTTGAGATAGTTGACTTTAGCCATTTAAATAGTGTGAAGTACACACTTCTACCTAAACACATTATGTGTGACATCAAAATTAATATGCAAATGTTATGGGTGTAATTAATCATTATAATTAATAAAATATTTTTAAAATATTAGAAGGATACTAATAAACTAAAAATATATTATTTATTATGTTATTAAGATAAATAAAATTTTTATATAATTGGCCATCTTTCCAAACCAGATCGTATCAGTGGTTCACCAGTTGATTTAATGCGAAGCTGATATATAAGTGGATAAAACGGTTGCACGATCGGTTCATGGTGTTTGATCTCGATTTTGACCAAGTCTCTGGACTAAGGGGTACTTGGTCCAAATAACCTTCAATTTTGGCCAAGTCTCTTGGGCGACCGGGGTTGAACTTGGTCAAATTGATCAAGCCAGGACTCAAGACCCCTCCCACTTCAGTCAATGGGCGATCTGAGTCTGTTGAGCCTAGGCTCAGGCAATGGGGTCAACTTGTTGACCAGGCAACTCGCGGCTGACCCAATTGGCCTTTAATAGCCTATTCAATTCTATACGTCCATTCAAAGCCTCATGGGCTCAAACCGCACCTCCTCTTTGGCCTAAGTGACTGGTTGACCAGTCAACACATTGACTCGGTCAAAACAAGTCATTAGTAGATCAAAATTATTGACTTATTAAGGCACTTTTAACACCCCATCAATTGCATTTAAGACTCTAATCCAATTTTAATTTTGAATCACGGCCTATCCCTGAGAATTTTCCCTCATAATTGGGTGTGATTTCGATCCCAACCATCAATGTTAGTGTTAAGCCTTTAAAATATCAAAAAATTGA